AAAAAAATGATGCTTTTCAAACTTGCCAATTTTGGCATCACGGTAGAATTTTTCCACGGGATACTCTTTCGTGAAACCTACACCTCCTAGCCATTCAACGCACTTAGATGTCACATTTGTAGCTACCTAAACAGAATAAAATAACAGGAACGAAATGCGTCTGACACCTCAGCTCAACCATAAAAGTTTACAAAAAAATAATTTGACTCTAAGAATATAAATGCTAATCACTTTCGGGTTAACGGCATACCTGAGAAGAGTAGAGCTTTGCCATGGCCGCCTCTTTCACATACTTGATATCGTTATCCTGAAATATTTTTTTTTCGATACCTGAATACCCCAGCTATTAACATACTTTCATTCTGGCCGCGTTGTAGACGAGTAACCTAGCTGCTTCAATCTCTACAGCTGCTTGAGCTATCTGATGTTGAATGCCCTGCAATCAAGGTTCTTTGAATACCTAAGAACAGCCTAGCGAGCTCGTGAATCACCTGGAAATCAATGATCCTTGATCCAAACTGCTTTCGCTCTTGAAGATGTGGTATAGCATTGTCGTAACAACCTTGAGCTAATCCTACCATCTGCGCTCCAATACCAATTCTACCCGCATTCAAGCACTCAATAGCGTATTTGTACCCTGAAAGTGTTCGAAGGTGTCCAAATAAAACTGAGTACCAAAAAATCTTGAATGGATAATAACTGAGAGCCTTTATTCAAACCATACTCCCAAGAAATCTAGTGGCCGAGAGATTCATTTCTGAACTTTCGCCCGGTACCGTAATCGGACGCTAAGGTGCTCGGAAGAGTACGGTACTGGGCGAGAGCTCAAAGTAGCAATGTAAACTAGGAAAACCTTGACAGATTTGTGGATAACGATTTATAGAAAAAGCATGTTCAAGAACAGAATAAAGTAACTGAAGAGTAGCTGAGAATTTAATGAAAATAACTAACCTTTGCCAAATTCACCAAGTATAGCAGATTTCGGAACGCGAACATTTTCAAAATGAACCGGACAAGTCGATGAAGCCCGTATACCAAGTTTGTCCTCCTTACGCTCAACTTGTACACCTTCCTCATTACGGTCAACAAGGAAACATGTGATGCCTTTATACTTTTTAGACGGATCAGCATTGGCGAACACCTGCACGTGGATACATCAGATCGGCAAAGATAGAAGAACGAAAATCTCACCAAAAAGAAGCTAGCATGGCCTGCATTTGTAATCCACGTTTTCGTGCCCGTAATAAGATAATCATCACCGTCTTGTTTTGCCACTGCCTTCATGGCAAACGCGTCAGAACCCGATGCTACCTCCGATAAACAGAAGGATCCAACCTAGAAATATGCCCGGTAAGAAGCAAAACCATAGTGATAGTAACGCGTCA